AAAACATTTGCTGTATTTCGTGTGGATTCCAAACACCATTTGATGTCATTATTATCAATGTTAGGCCCGAGTCCTGACTGGATAGTAGGCGTGAGTGCACTCGAACTCTGCCTTAAAAACTGTTCGTGGATTACAGAGAAAGTGATGAATCTGTATCTATGGGACGCCGGAACCGATTCCGGTATAACATATTTAGCGCCAAATTTCCCGACCGTTCCTCAGGAGAGGATAAGAAGGATCACATCTACGAACCCAAACCACGCCGAGTCTCCCTTCTATGACTCGACCGGCGCCAGAATGAAACCCATCGCGAAGTTAACGGTTTCTCGACAAAGGATTTACGAGAAAGCGTGCGGAGACGACACCAACAAATTGTCACCCGTTTGTGTTGGCTATGACTGCGAAGACAATGAGGACGACTCTAGACGTGAGTTCAAATCAATTATACTATTATTAGCCCAAAATTGTTGCTTTAAAAACCTAACTTTATATACTTTGAAAATCCTCCCGCTTTCACTATAAGGAACTCCATCTCCAGGTAGTGAGTTTACCAACTAATCATTATTAATTATTACAACATTTCTATTTAAATGAGTCATATATTATACATGTACATTTATATAAATATTGTTTGCAGCCGACTGTCAGGTGACTGAATGGACAGAATTCACTCCGTGTTCGGCCACTTGTGGACACGGAATACGAATGAGAACTCGAAACTACAAACACGAACAGATCGCTCGACAGATGAGTTGTTTGACTAAATTGATCGAAAAGGAAAGCTGTGAAGTCAAGTGCGTTAATGACGTGAGTTGTGCCACAACTTCGTGGTCGGAATGGCAAGAATGCAGCGCTGTTTGTGGCAAAGGATTCCGCACTCGGACTCGTAAATTCATGAGTCGAATGGCACGCAAACTGTGCACTCAAGTGGAGCTAATCGAGAAGGATATCTGTATGGGTCCGCAGACACAGTGTCAGGAAAACGAGGAAATTGACCCCAAATGCAGTGTCACTCAATGGTCAGAGTGGACGCCCTGTACGGTCACGTGTGGCAAAGGCGTCAAAATCAGAACCCGTCTCTTCATGAGTCCGCGACAGTCTTCCAGCATTTGTACCATTGATTTGATCCAAAAGGCTCCCTGTGTTGCCGATAAGATTGACTGTAAGGTAGACTTAAGTGAGGCCAAAGGTATATACTTTTGTTTTATTTCTTCTATAATAAGATTATAGAAGAAATACAATCATTATATATTATGTAGTGATTGAATGGTTTGCATAATCGATATGAATTCGTTGATATTTATCAACCCTTTAATTAAGTAACATCAAAATTTATTTATTTTGCAAGAATTCTCACCATATAATCAGCCAAATATTCTTAAAAATTAAGTTTATATGCAAAATATGCATAAATTATGCAAAATTTTCACTTCTAAAAATGTAAAGTTTATGTAAAAATTTGAATATTTGCAGAGATTTGTATGCAGAACAAGGAGGTGGGCCCGTGTCGGGGATATTTCCCCCGTTATTATTATGATGCGAGTAAAGGCATGTGCTATCAGTTCATATACGGCGGCTGTCGGGGCAATAAAAACAATTTCGAGAGATATCCCGATTGTAAGCGAATGTGCGAAGACATGCTTAAGAGTAAGTGGTATTGATTTGAAATTACAATAAGCGTAACATTACTATGAAATTGTCAACTAAACAAAACGTGATTAAAAATGTACTAAAAATGCTTAAATGCTGTGCTATGCTGTGGCTGTGAAGACTTCGTTCAGGCATCTCTACCCCCGTCTACCATTGCTTATGCAAATGCTATGAAAGACGCAACCGTTCATCTCGAGAAAGGCCTCGTATGCGGTACTCACCTCTTCTCTATCCTTTATTTTGCACATTTCATTGTCCTCTCAATTACTTATCGATTCCTCTTAATTGTAAACCAATTTATAACTTTTTTGTTTAAATATAATTATTTTGTTCGTAAATGCAATTTAAGTATTTGTCAAAAATATTAAATAGTTTCCACTTATCCCACAAAATGCCAGAAATTACTGTATATTTGGCATTAAAATTGAATATTTTATACAAAAATACTTTTTTAAACAGACTATTCATACCGTTATAAATATCATAAATAGTATCCAAGGCTTGCTTTTCTAAAATTAATGTTGTGTTTCTAATGTTGTGCCTAAATCTCTGTTTCCAAAAATAGTTTATTTTCATTATTTGCTTCATTTATTAAATATTGGCAAATGTTTTCTCTGTACCCAAAGCCACATAAAATTTATAAATTAACAATTTTATCATCTAAAGGGGTGCACTGTATAGGCTTTTATTGCACTATTATTGCATTCCTTTAGAGATCTTTTAACAATTTCTTGGCATAAAAACTAATAATAAAAAACTAGTTTATTATTAGTGTTTATTCACGAAACCAATTGAATAAAGTTTGATTGAATTGACGACACATAACATCATAATTGTAATGAATTCATTGCAGCCCCAATCGGTGCCTTGACTTCATTAACATCGGGCAACTCTAATACGGGTGTCACATCTCCGCCGATCAATGACCAAGGTCCCATTATTGATTGTGTCGTACGTATTTATTTATATAAGCAATCGACTCACTAGTAAACTATACTAACTATTATAACCAATTGAATCACTACTATATGCTGTGTTATGTATGGATCAGTTGACGCCGTGGTCTCAATGGACTCCGTGTTCGCGTTCGTGTGGAAGCGCTCGCAAAGAAAGGAGACGTGAAATCAAACTTAACGCACAAAACGGCGGCAAAGCGTGTCCTAAAAGACTGGTTCAAAGAAGGAAATGCAAAGATAATCCCGATTGTGGTCAGCATTTGACTAATTATTACTTTCAAAGCAGTGCTTATTCGCGAACTAATGCTTTCAATGTTTAATTTTGTCCTCAAAATCTATAGCGGATTTTAAGCCAAATATTTACTCATTTACTAACAAATTATCGACAAAAAGCCCGAAAAAGCATAAACATTATCACCAACACTACTAACACCTAATTATTCATCTCGTTTTGTATTAAATAAAAAATAACAAAAAAAAATAATTATAATCTTCAGACCAGTTACCAGTCGATTGTAAAATGGGTTCGTGGGGTGAGTGGTCTACCTGTTCAAAGGTTAGGCCCATTCATTAAATACACGTTTTATGCTTTTATACATCATTATATGTGATTTGAATATTTGTTTGTCTCTGTTTATTGGCAGACATGCGACGGACAGGGCTTCAGATTTCGTCAAAGAAGTATTTCTGTCAACGCTTCCAACGGAGGCATCGCTTGCGGACCGCAATTCAATCGAGAAATCTGTGAAAACTTTAGACCTTGTTATTAATGTGTCACCAAAATGACCCCGATTATTGTTTTCATTATGTCTAATGAATAAATGTCTGATAAGTCTTCCTCTATTTATTGTCGTAAATACAACACAATTGAAGCCTTAATTGAAGTAATCATTTGGTCTACTGTTGGAAGCAATCAATTCAAATAAAGTCATTCTTTTGTAGACTATTTCTACATATTATATACAAAAATACTATTGAATTATTAAAGTAATTGTTAATCTAATTTATAATTTTAATTTTCAAAAACAAAACATTCATATACTGTATGTTAAGCCCAACTCATGCTTTCAATAGATGAACAAAATATTACTTAAAATATGAGAAAAGTTGTTAACATTTTGTATATAAAAGTGANTCTCTCTCTCTCTCTCTCTCTCTCTCTTTCATGGTCTTGAAAATGTTTTTAATATTTTTATAATTAACATTTTTGTTAATATTGTAGGGATATTCTAAAACACATCATCTTTGTATTTTAGATAAAAGTCATTGTAATCAAAGTCTCATATTTATTAAATTTGATAAAATTTTTAATTTAATGAAAAATTAATTGTTATTTAATACCAAAATAAATGGTTAATTACATGTTTTCGTTTAGCTATTGATGAATGCAAACCATTGGAGGCATTGGTGAACAAAAATGAGAGTAATTTATTTATTCTATCACTTAATTTGGTTGAGATGTGAAACCTTTGCTTAACATTGGCTTAAAGCCAGTCTTTTTTCGTGTTCACTCTTTGACGGAGAAAATAAGTGTCAGAAGCGCTTAATTCTTGTAATTATTCTTTATATAAACTTCAGACAAATGGAAAAAGTTATCAAAAAATATTGTTCTTTATTTTCCATTTTTCCAAATAATAACTCCTATTATGAGTTTCAAGAATTTTGCCAACAAGTCTAATAATTTCATCATAATTCCATTGTAAGTGTCGCTAATATCTGCATCTCTCTCTCTCTCTCTCTCTCTCTAACTTTATTTCTAAAATTGTAAAAATTCTAAAAATAGTAAATGGTTTCAAAAATTATTGTTTTATTTTTAAATATTATATTAATGTAATAATTAACTGAATTAATTAATCGACAAGAATTGTAAATAAACTAAAGACCTATTGAATTGAAATGTAAAATCTTATTAAAACATATATACAAATGGATTTGATGTTTGCATTTATAACAGTATCTTGATGAATTCTTCGTAATTGATTTTGCCATCTTTGTCAATGTCTGTGGCGCTCAATAATTGGTCCAAATCTCTGTCGGTAATGGTTTCTCCCATTAATTGCATCGCAGACTTCAGTTCATCTTTCGTTATATATCCTAAACACAAATAAATCGTTCATTTATTTAAATTCAAGTCTAATATGTTTAACATTGGAAGTGAGAGAAAATATAAGAGCAAATGATTGACCATTTTTGTCGATATCAAACACAGAAAAGGCTGCCTTTAGATCCTCTTCAACATCAGTCTCTTTGTGAGTCTTGATTTTCGACAACCAATTCGTAAATTCTGATTCTGTAATCAATCCGTCACCTAATGTTCACACAAACCATTTCAACACATTCTTAGCTATTCTTATCGTTTATTTGTTAAATTTTCTATATTTATTCTTATTTAAAATTAATTAATAAGCGCTTGTTCAATTTATTTTAATTAAAAAATATTTATTATGTGCAATATTGTGGTCCAGACGTAATCCTCACCCGAAGAGTACAACTTCGCAAATATTTAGGGCCATATTATTCAATGGGAATCAATATATGAGACAAAACAAATATCCATGGTGTTTTGTATTTTATTATATCAGTTTTTACAACCCAAAAGGGGCTTAAGTTTAACGTTAGGTTCAATCATAACAATTGCATTGAATTCAACCATGTTGAATCAAACATAAAAATTCAGAATTACATTCATTTCAATGTTAATAATTAAACCTAATGTAAAAGTTTGGCCCCTTTTGGAATTTCCCAAAATATAAAAGAGTTTGTGATTTATTATACATTTGTTTTTGCTTATAACCCGTACTGTTTGTAATCTAATACTGTAAAACACATAATTAACTCATATATTAATTCCCGTTGAGTAAAATTCCCAAAATATTTACAAGGGTTAAACTCTTTACGTGAGGATTATTTTGGGACTACAATAGATACAGATAAAATAAATTTGGTCATAGTTTGTTGTCTGATAATGATAGTTTTAATTCTATATCATGGTTTATTAATAATATGTTAAACAATTAATTTAAACAGGGTAAAAAGGATGACCAATTTTATTATCCAAACAATATAATTATTTAGAGAAAATTAATCATCTACTGTAGTACACAAATTAATGCAGATAATTAAATTGTTAATTTAAATACAAATATCTAAATTTTTAATTGCTTATAGTTTATAGCATAATCGAATTGATGTTAATTGTTGACACTTTTATGCCATAAGAATTAATAAAAATATTTACAATTTACTAAAACACAATACATACCAGTTTTGGAGGCCTCGCTGAGCAGTTGTTTAATGATTTGGTCGCCAACAGAGATGCCGAGTCTGTTTAGCATAGATTTCATTTCTTCTTCATTCACTCGTCCGTCTCTATTGGTGTCAAACAATTGAAAAGCAGTTCTCAGTTGTGTTTCATCGATTGGCTTCAGTTTAGTTGACTTG